TCCGGGCTGATCCGGATTCCTCCGGCAGTGCGCACGGGAGGGAGGCCATTCTGAAGAGTCTAACCCTGGGAGTGCAGGCCCCACCACCCTTGTATTCATCTTTCCTACTCAGTCAAATCCTGATATGACCCTGTCACCCTTCTGGTCCCGCCCAAGGCTGCCATCCATCACTCTAGGAGGAGGAAGTGAGGTGGGGGCATTCTCTGCGGCCTTTTCCCTGACCCTTAACCATGCGCCCATCCAGCCCCAGGAGGCATCCACTGACTCCTTGGAGCAGTGGGAATCTTCTTCTGGATCCTTCACTTTGACCTTGTCCCTGCACTCTGGTCACTTTTTGGCCCCTGAAATTGCTTTTACATGCTGGATTCTTGGGCCCTTCCTTCATCTGAGGGGGAGGGTCTTTTGGGGGACATCTATACAGCCCACGGCCTCCGGTCAATAGATTTAGGGCATGTCTACACTTGACATGCTACAGCTGCACCTCTGTAGACGCGATCTACGCTGATGGGAGGGGTTCTCCCATTGCTGTAGTTAATCCACCTCCTTGAGAGGTGGCAGCTAGGTCAACAGAAGAGCCCAGCATGGTCTGCAACTGGAGTTAGGTCGGCGTAGCGCCGTCTCTCAGGGGGTTGGATTTTTCACACCCCTGAGGGATGCAGCTATGCCATTGTCCATTTCCAGTGTAGATCAGACCTGAGTCTGTAGTCTCACTGCCAGGGGTGGCCACTGGCTGTGTGGACACACCCTTGTGGTGGTGGTGGGCTCTGCCTACCATCCCAGGATTGAGATAGATAGACTAAGGGCAAGGAATAAGGTAGGCCTATCTCTAAACATTCTTCCTCCTCCTGTGTCATGTTCTTGGTGTCTCTTCCTTTCTCTTTCACTCAATGCCTTTTTTCCTTTATCCCACCCTCCTTCGCACAATCTTGGGTCTCTCCCCCTCATCCCCTGCCTTGCCAGAATCCAGGCCTCGGTGCTGCTGTAAGGACAGTGAGGAAAAGCAGGGCTCCTGGCCCAAGTCCGGTGAGTAGCCTCTTGCAGCCTCATGTGGGCTCCGTGCATACAGCTCTGCCTGGAGCAGGGCCTCGCTCCAGCCTCCAGGTGCATCCATGTGAGGGTAAAAGGCAGCTCAAGGACTGCTGCAGGTATGGGAGTGGGATGGACAGGTGTATCTGGTGGGGGAATATGGGACCTGGCCTCTTCATGGGGTCGCTGTCAGTTCCACTTTCTCTTTCATTTGATCAGAGGTGGCTGCGTGTCTAAAACTGACCAGGGCCAGCCCTGAAAACAGGAATGTGCCTGGCTTCCCGGGACAGCTGCTCCCCCTAGTGCTGGGCGATCTGTGTAACCAGTCACAGGCATGTCAAAAATCCATCTCAGTCCCTCAAACCTTTGATTCCCCTCCCTTCTACCCCCCCTGCACCCACACCCATAACATTGCACAGCTAGAATGGGGCTTTGCCTGAGGGTATGCCTCGATGCTGCAGCGACTGTGTGGGTGTAGCGGTGTCTACATTGAGGGGAGGTGGGCAGAGCTCTGTCAGACCAGGGGTAGTTTTTTCACACCCCTGACCGATGTAGTTATGTTGAGGCTTGGTCAACACTACAAACTTATGTCAGTATAACGACGTCGCTCGGGGGTGTGGAAAATCCACATACCTGACCGACAGTTATACCGACCGAACCCCCTAGGTGTGTCAACGGGAGGGCTTCTCCCCTCCACAGAGCTACCTCCTCTTGGGGAGGTGGAGACATGCTGATGGGAGCAGCTCTCCCCTCAGTGTAGCTAGTGTCTTCACTAAGCAGATGTACCGGTAGACAAGCCCTCAGTCTTGGGGCTGAGTAGGAAACACACAACGAATCTGGCTTGGTTAAGGCCCAGTCCTCTAGAGGGCAATCTCCAGAGTCAATCCAGGCCTCCTGTGACATGGAAAATCTTCTCCAAAGTCACCTGTCTGTCACTGGCCAATTCTCATATGGCTTCCTGCTCCTTGCCCACTAGTAACCAGACACCCGTCCACACCTGAGTCTCCAACCAGGCTGGATCGAAGCAGAACTTTGGAGGCAAAGCAAATGTGCTTCCCCCCCTGCTTTGCTGCTGCTTTGCAGGAATGGGGAGGAGTTGGGGGCTGAGAAATCTACTCACCGAACAGAAACTAAAGCAAAGGGCTACAGCCACTGCAAACAGGATGAGTATGATGTAGCCAGGCCCCACATCCTCAGGCTGGCAGCTATTGGGGCAGGGGCTGTGCTGCGCTGGAAAAAAAAATCTCCTGAGGCATAAGAGGCAGAGTGCAGGGAGCTGCAATTGGAATGACCCAGAGTCTTCAAGGGGCTGTTGGACAGGACTGGAGACAGGCAGAGCGAGCATTAGCACTACTGTGTGAAGGGAGCTGGTGCCCAGACCCCCAGGACAACCTCTCCCCGATACAGCCTCAAGTGGCATCTAGGAGGAGCCCAGATAGGGTGACCAGAAAAATCGGGATGGGGTGGGGGGGTCATAGGAGCCTATATAAGAAAAAGATCCAAAAATGAGGACTGTCCCTATAAAATTGGGACATCTGGTCACGCTAAGCCCAGAGCAACCCTCCCCATCTCATTGGAGGCCCAAGTGCCTCCCCCATATCTATGAACTGGTCTTGGCCATTCCCACCCCACGTTTGGTCTTCTTGGGCCCCAAAGGCCAGAGCTGGTTTTCTGGGGAACCTGAAGCAACAGCTGAATTCCATGCAGGAATCTGTCAGTGTCTGCAGTGAACGTGGCTTTACTGTGTGCCTAGTTATAGTGGTAGATTTCCCCATGTACACAAGCCCTAAGGCAGAGTATTTAAAGGGTCTGATTCACTGCTGGGGGACAGGCTTGGTGGGTGACTAGGGGAGAGCTACAGCTCAATTCTACCCCCAGGAGAAGTGACACAGCATTTTGCTGCAGTCCTCTTTCTAGGCAAGGGGGGCTCATTTCCCAGGGCTTGCATCCTTTCCTTTTGAGCTTGCTAATCTTGCCCATTTTTCCCCCTCCCTCTGAGTTTAGGGATCCTTTAGCCTCCGTACCAATTATTTAAAGTATAACTATATGGTATAATTATGTCAGTAAATTTCCCTGTGTAGACAAGCTCTTAGGTTGAAGTCCTCCGCTTCTTACACTTAATCTCATTACCATGATAAGTAACACTGAGGATGTGCGTAGTGTTGCTGTAATTAAATTCATTGTTGTCATGTTGTCTGTAGCCAATATAGCAGGTGGTTTTATCCCTGGAGCTGGGGTCCCTAACAGAGAAAACAGAAGGGACTGGGCTGGGTGGATCCTGAATTTTCCTAGAACGATTTTATTTCTGACATGTCACACATTTTTTTCTGAAGTTTTCTGCATGCTCCTCAGCTTTTCACCAGTCGCACATGACTATTTCCCATGTGGTCTGTGAATAGATCTAGGGCAAACATTTCAAAAGCACCCAAGTGACAGCCTAAAGTCTCACCGATTTTCTCCTAAAAGTGCTTTTCACCTTTGAAAGTGGGACTTAGGCTACTGGCTGGCTCCTAAGCTACTTGGGTGCTTTTGAAAACATTACCCCGTACAACAAATCACTCAATGGAAATGTAATCTGCTGCCTCCTGTCAGTTTTATACAACCACCTAGCCTTGCTTACTGTCCCTGTTCTATCTGGCCCTTTAATGTTAGCCTAAGAGCTGCAGCCATGCTTGCTAAAAGGAATGTTTCTGTTTGGTTCACAACCAACCAGCTTCTTCCTTACCTGACTATTAAACATGCTGCTGCAGCCAGGTAGCCTGTGGCAGTGAAATCTGCAGGTTTGCTGAAAGAGTGACAGTGACTGAACAAGGCTGAGACCTCCAGCCCTCTTCCCTGTTCTTCCTGAGACAGCTACCCATTGAGCTCAAACTTTTCCAGGTGCATCACTACAGCTAGGTTGATCAAGCCTGTCCCATCCTTCATCAGGCATTTACAGGGGCTCACCTTTATGCATCCTGTCTGTTGGGAGGCGTGCCCCAAATTGAACCACAAACAGCTCAGAAGCAGAATGTTTGATCATCCCATCCTACATGGAGAACGTGTCTGGGACCTGATCCTGCTGGAACTTAGGTGACAAATACCAGAGCAAACCCACCCAGCCTCCCAGTTGAGGGAAGAGATCTGAAGGGGGCCAGAGGTGGGATCCTCCTGGCATATTGATTAAAGCCCAGCTAGACTGAGGAGTGGAGCTGGACACAGCCTTTCCCTGTGGGATACAAACTAAACCTTGGTTTTGTATCTCCTGATGAGAGGTGGGAGGGAATTTTCTAGCTCCTGATTATTGGAAATAATTTTAAACAGCACATGTTTTTCTGGTCTGTTTTCCTTTTGCACTTCCTTGGTTGGGCAATGGAGACAGCCTAAAGTTGGCTTTTATTTATAGTTAATTCCACTCTTTGGTGCTACAAACACTGCAGAGGAAGGTTTGTTTGGTGGAAAGGAGAAGGTGGGCTCTTTCTCTTGGAATTATAAAGAAACCCCTTGCCGGACGCACAGCGTTGGCTTTATGTTTGATAACATCTTGATTTTACAAAAAGGAAAGTTGGGGCCCACTTTGAGCAGCACATGCCCCCTTGAAGTTTCCCATGTCAAAGGATTTAGGGGTTTACATTGATTGCTGTCACATGATGAATGATGCATAGGTCTGTAACAGTCACACACCCAGCCTCTGCCCACACCACAGTCCCCGGGGGCTTGGAAAGAGACAAGCCTGCAGCGCAGCCTACATCCCCCATGATGCTCTGGGGGAAGGGCCACGTGGAGCCTACATCCCCCATCATGCCCTGGGGGGAAGGGCCACGTGGAGCCTACATCACCCATGATGCCCTGTGGGAAGGGCCACGTGGAGCCTACATCCCCCATCATGCCCCGGGGGGAAGGGCCACGTGGAGCCTACATCTCCCATGATGCCCCGGAGGAAGGAGTCACTGAGAGGCTGTATTTCCCATAATGTCCTGGGGGAAGGGGCATTAGAGCCTACATTCCCCATGATGCAATTGTGCTGGGACAACTCCCGTGATGCTGCGAGGCCTAAATGCTGGTTGCTGATTGGCCCGGTGCTCCCGGAAGTGTCTGAGCCCGGTGGGCGGGCTGCGGGGAGTCAGCGGCAGCGCTCGGTGGGGACCATGGTGAGCAGGGGGGATGGGTGGGTCCCGCCAGCCCCTTGGGGGAGGGAATTGGTGTGGGCTGGTTTCCTTTCATTCCGGCGGCAGGCGGGACGTGAAGGGGTTAATCCCCCTGCTCAGCTGAGGGAGGGGCGCGAAGGGGTTAATTCCCCCCGGCCAGCGTAGGAGGAGAGGGGGCGCGAAGGGGTTAATTCCCCCTCCCCCCGTCAGCTGGGGGAGGCAGGCATGAGTTTGGAGTGGAGGGTTAATTCCCCCTTGGGGCTTTCCCCGTTGCTAGGCGGTGCTGTGCTGCTGGTGCCGCAGCGTTCATGGGATGATTTAAACCCCAGGACCTGGGCACTGGGGGTCCAGAGGCTCCCACGCGCAGGGTTAACCCAAGTGTCCAGGCCAGGTTCCAACCCTGTTCATGACATTCTGTTTCCCCACCATGGATCCAACCCCCACCCCCATCACCCAGTTGCTCTTGGTTGAGGGATTCCCCCTTCACTTGTCTTTCAAAGCATAGTTTAGTGTTGCAGAATGGCATCCATGTTCCGCCCCAGAGGTGGCTGCCTTTCAGCGATGAAGATCAGCACCTTAGGAGTCTCATAGGTGAACATGTTGGTGCTTGAATCATAGGATTATATTGGCCTCACAATGAAGCTGTGTTAATGTTGTGTTGAGGTGAGGAATTTGAGCATTCATGAAATGCAAGGTGTGAAGATTATCAAAATAAATTGAACTCAGGAGTTGATTGGGCAGGGGCCCTAATTATGTGAATTAGAATTGGCCAGGACAGGGGAAGTTAACATCCCTGCTCTTTCAGAAAGTGACTTGGGCTCATTAATAATCTCAGGTGCTCAGGACCTTGGTTTTCCATATCATTACCCCCCCCTCCAAAAAGACACCCCAGTAGCACAGTGCCTCTTAACACCCTTCGGGATCAAAGTCAGTGCTGACTGCAGTGAATCACCACCAACACTTCTGACAGCTTCCTGGGTTCTCCTAGATGATCTCCCATCTACTTACTGATCTGCTCTGACTCCGCTTAGCTTGAGATTTCTAGGATCATAGCACAGGGGACATTGCTGTAGGCTCTGAGTAAGAGTAACTGCAGTGACCCACAAGATGATGAGCATCTCACAAAAGCATGATAAGAAATCTGTCGCTATTTCAGAGCAAGAGGGGATGGATTTTATCACAGAGACATTTATGGCAATATTTTTGCCAAGTATTTTTCCTTCTTTGGCTTTTGTTCCAAAACTACAGTGGTGTATCTTCATGGCCAGGAGCTGAATAAACACTGCAACCTTGAAAGGATACATAAAACTGCATTATTTATTTGTACTACCATAGCAGGTAGGAGTGCTAGTTATTGTAGCCCCTAGGATTATTTTGCTAGCTATTATATCCTACTAACCCAGCCAGCCGTATCAAATAATCTGTTTCTCTTTCTGAATTAATCTATTTCATTCTTGTATTTTATCAGTATTAATTCCTATGAAATTAGGATGTGTTGAGGCATATGATATGTGTTTCCTAATAATTATACATAGAATAAGTTTTGCTGAAATGCAAGAAGCCTACCGGCCTGTATCCAGTAAGATCCACTAAAAGTATAATCAGTTAAGAGTAAGTCAGCATAAAAGCTGGCAACCTTTGGCACAGATAGGAATGGTCCCTGAACTTTGAGGAACCAAAGGGAGGAAATACACACAACACTGAACGGATTTATCCAGTGTCTGCAGCTGGTTGGTAACCACAGGGTATACCACAAACCTGGAAGTCACCAAGAGAGCCTAGGTTGGCAGTTTTTGGAGTGAGATAATATGTAGAGAGTAAGTGTCATAATCCACTAACCTATAGGATAAGATTACCCATAAATTTCTTAGGTACAGAAATAAGATTTGGGTATAGTAGGTTGGGCCTGAATTGCATAGCGTCAGGATCCTATAAAATACCTTGTAAGGATATCATAGGGGGCTTTTAGCTCTTTCCTTTCTTTGTCCTCCTATATTCTATAGACTATCCTTTTATCTACCTAACCGTCTATCTTCTATCCCGCTTTCAGCTTAGCTTGTGTAGTGTAGTAGAACTACTCAACATTCCTAACTACTGGGGAAGCCAGCATCATCGTGTTATCAGGCATGCCAGGAGTGAGGCTGGTCCTTCACCTCCTATTATCGGGTCCTCAAGGAAGGGTGTGAGTATGTTAAGTTAAGGTACTTATAATAGGAATAACAACGAGGAGTCCTTGTGGTACCTTAGGGACTAACAAATTTATTTGGGCACAAGCTTTCGTGGGCTAAAACCCACTTCATCAGATGCATGCAGTGGAAAATACAGCAGGCAGATATATATATACACAGCACATGAAAAGATGGGAGTTGCCATACCAAGTGGGGGGTCGGTTCTAACGAGACAATTCAATGAAAGTGAATTGTAATGTATTATAATAGCCCACTTCCACTTTCATTGAATTGTCTCGTTAGAACCGACCCCCCCACTTGGTATGGCAACTCCCATCTTTTCATGTGCTGTGTATATATATATCTGCCTGCTGTATTTTCCACTGCATGCATCTGATGAAGTGGGTTTTAGCCCACGAAAGCTTGTGCCCAAATAAATTTGTTAGTCTCTAAGGTACCACAAGGACTCCTCGTTGTTTTTGCTGATACAGACTAACACGGCTACCACTTTGAAACTTATAATAGGAACATTACCACCAGGAGTTTTGGAATTCTTTTACTGTTTTGCAGTCATAAATTTCATAGCATTTATTATTCTTTTGTTAATCTCAATAAAGTGTTTATCAATTTGGTATTGTCCTTAGTGTAAGTGTCTTTGCCAAGCACCCCGAGAGTCCTCTCCCGATATAGAACTCTCTGAGTTCTCGGACCCTCTAGTCTGAACTGGGCAAGAACCTATAAATCTTCTGGTCAGATGCGATCAGTGGCGAGCCATAACAACTAACCATTCAAATTCAGGTCAACGTTATGGACCAGGTCCCCACTATACTAGGTGCTGTAATATTCCCTTGTACTTTAAATGTCATTGTGCCATTTATACTGACTATAATTCAGTTGGAGGATCTGAATTGTTTTGACTTTTTACTCTCCTATATTCCAGGCTACAGCAATGGACCAACTGGTGGGATTTGGCCTGGTAGCCTTTAGCCTCCTCCTTTTTGTTTACTACACCATCTGGATTATTATACTGGTACGGATCCCTGCACATACTCTGGTTATTGCAGTCTCAATGGCTTCACTGTTGTGTTTGTTTGTTTAGACTTTCTTTAGAGGTGTTACTCTGTTTGTCTAGGTATGTGTAAGCTGAAAAGCAATTACTAAAAACTCCTTCTTGCCCAGTCTGCTGTTTAAAATCTTGATCATTTGAACCTTCACCCAAAGGTCAACCACAAGGGATAACTATAGGGTTATCCGTAGCAGTGCACCCTGTTGGGTAGGTGCACTGGTGTGGATAAAGCAAGAACTGCTGCATTCCACACATTTGAACCTTCACCCAAAACAGTTCTGGGGTTTTCAAAAAAGGGTTGTTCTCCCATTATTTTTCACTTCCATGCCCCATCTGTTTTCTGGTTTGCATGGGAAGTGGCAGAACTGAAATACGAGAGTCCATTCATGCGGGATCTTCAGCCCAGTAAAAAGCAGGAAATATAGGAAATCATACAAGGAAGTCATCTTTTTTTGAGCTGTCCAGGCCAGTTTTTCAGACTTGAGAGGTTTGTTAAAGCTTTGGATTGGCATCTAAATCCCTGGCAGCTTCCAGTCCAAGCTCTGAACGTTTTTGGGTTCCCCCTCTGAATTCAAAAGTTTATTGTTCTGCTGTTACAAACCCTGTATAGTTTGTACACTCTCTGAACGTTAGAGCGCTGTATTAGGGCTGTAAATATCGGTTTAAAATTAACTGGTTAAACGATTAAAATTATATTGTTTAACCGGTTAACCGTTAGCCGAGGTAGCTCCGGTGGGCCTGGCCGAGCCGGGGCTGGCGGCTGGCCGGCCCAGCACGGGGCCACTGAGGTTAACGGTTAATGTTGGTTAACCGGTAAGCCTAATGCTTACCGGTTAACTTTATACATCCCTATGCTGTAAAAGGGGTTATCTGGTAGCAATGGGTATAGGTGCAAAGTGTTCTGCAGCGTTTAACTACACCTGCAACACCTTTGTGAAGTGGCGTAAATAGTACAGTGACTTTCCAAGCGAGGGAAGCTGAAACCCTCCTGGGGATAAGCAGTTTGTTCAGTCCCAGGTAATGAGGGAATCTGAATTAGATCCCCTGAGTTTTTTTGCTGCTATGCTCAAGCCACTAGACAGCAGCACTTCTGACATCCCCGGTGTCACCTGCTTACTACAGTACCATGGATACTTGTTCAGCTGCCCTTTGCTCATTACATTCTCTGTCTACAGCTGTAGCTAAAGTCCCTCTTGCACGCTAGTCTAGGTTATTGAGCAGGCATGCTCTCTCGTTATGTGGGGTTCGTTTTCAAGCCTAAGGTTAATTGTAGCTCTGGAGGTTAACTGTCCTGGCACTGCAACCATAAAGCTTCGGGGGCTAGAGAGTTGTCTTTGTATTGCCCGACTTAGTGGTGCCCTTCGCTTTTGTTTCCTGCAGCCCTTCATTGACAGCGATCATGGGATTCATAAGTTCTTCTTGCCCAGAGAGTATTCGGTTACCATTCCTGTCATCGCAGGGCTCCTTCTGGTGCTGTTTGTAGGTGAGTCACATTCTGATCTCTTTAAAAGTTGGTCACTAATGTTTCATCTGATTGCTGACAGCAGTGAATGGCCAGTATCTAAAGCTCATGTGGTGGGAGCTTCCTCACAGCAGTGCCCTGTGTGTGACTGTGATTCCACCAGTGTGAGCTTCTGTACAGTGGAATTGCCTCTCTCTCCTTCTGTGATGAGGTTCCATTTCTCACAGCAGTGTGTTTAAAAAGCCACCGCAGCTGCGGGGGTTATGTTTTACTCAGTCTCTCTCTCTTTCCTGTGTTAGGGGTCTTTGTGGTGATTGTGATGTGGAAGAACAGAAAACCTGCAAAGAAATCAGACTGAAGACAGCAGGATGGGAGAGGCAGGGAGAAGGTGCCTGGCCTGGAGCGTCTCAACAGGTACAAGACTCTCACCTGCAGAAACAAGAGCACACTCCACTCTAAGACTCTGTCACATGCTTGAATGGACGTTGGACTTTGCTGCGCCCTCTTTCCGTGATCCCTGCCCTGAGACTCGTATCCAGCTATAGTTTACAATGTACTGAACAAAGGGAAGTGAAACTGTCTGACCCACAGGATTCCTCTAGTGAGGGACCAGAGCACCAGCCCTGCTGAACCTGTACCCAGGTTAGGGATAATCCTAGCAGACTGGTGGCTTTGGACTCTACAGTTCTTGCACTGTGTATCCTGTGCTAAGGTGACACTGTTCTGGCACCAGGCAGTGCTAGTGAGCAAAGGGCTCAGACTTCAGTGACTTTCCTCTTCTCTGCTGCAGACGCCTCCTTTACTTGGTTTGTTTCTTTCATTTTTTAACTAGTTACTTTAGGATTTTTTATAGTGGATCCAATATGTGAAAAAACAAAATCATGGATAAAAAAGCGCTCCTCTCTAAGGCTCAGAGGGCAGGTCAGGGAGAGATCCCCCCTCGCCACTTACCTACTGGAGGAGTGATGAACCATCAGCATCTTGTACCAACAGTGTTACTGTCGAGGGGTCTCATTCCACCCCAGTCCACCTGCTCTTATGCACATACAGGCTGTCTGTTCTGTCTTAGTCAGGGGAACGGTTGCCTCTCCACCATGCATTGCATGTTACAGGGAAGCCACAAGCTTTATAGCCTCCTTCATGGCCCACTGTGCAGAGGAGGTAATGAAGAGGTGAGGTCCTCTGCTGTTGTGTAGAAGGTGCACCACTGTTCTCCATGCTGTTCTATTCTCCGCAGTGTGCGTGCATTCAATGGGGATGGAGAAGAAAGTCCTGCTCTGCTGAACAGCAACTGAGGAAGAAGGGGAGAGGGGCTCAGATACTGTCCTGATAAATGTGGTATTAATACTGGTCCAGTGAAGCCATTGGTTCTGCTTTATACTTTATTTTCCACGTTCCTGGTTAGCATAGGACTGTGAGGGGGAAGAGCATGCAAGCTGCCTGGAGCCGTGCTCTTTCTGCGCCAGGCAGGGCTGAAGCAGCAGGGTGTTTTCACGCCTTAGCACGCTGACTTGCTTCAAACCCTGTAGGTGGAGTCCTGGCAGCTCTGTTTGAATGTGAAGAACTGGAGTCTCAATAAATATTATGCAGTATCTCTGTCTATGTTCTTCCACTGCCCCCTAGGTGTGCGGGGGTGTGTGTGCGCGCGTGCAAAGTGACACTATGGGAAGCAAATCTTGCCACCAGATCAATGAATCAGAAAACAGCCTGCATGTAACCTTAGGAGCACTGTGCAGCCTCTATGAAAGCCCTGCTGGGATGTGACCGGTTCTCGCTCCTGTCCTCATTCTGCTGTTGCTGTTGAGTCCTGTAATCTACCATGAGCTGCTGCATGCTAGAGAGCTGGGTACGTGACATGGAGACCCCTCTGGAGCAGGGTGATCAGGCATGATGCCAAGGGGCAGCATGTTGGGAATGGGGTTGAGGGTGCAGATTTGTAGTTTCTCTAGGATCAATCATGGGTTGGTCAGTTAAAGGGCAGAGATGCCATAGCCAAGGCTCGGGTTCAGGGGTTTAGGTGCTTCGTGGCATCTCTCATTTTCCTGAGCAGTCTGCTAACACTCTTGAGCTGTCGGCACTGGAACGCCATCAAAGCTGGGTTCTTGTTCCAGCAGCAGTGGTAAGAACTGCATGTGCCATTTCCTCGGCCTATGAGGGGCCTGTTGCCAGGAGCAGATGCTAGCACAACTCTAGGGAGCCTTTCTGCAGTATCACGCCAGAGCCTGTCAAAGAATTAACCAGCCAAGAAGCAAACCTGATAACAGCATCTTATGAGACAAATGGTAAAAGAACAGAGTGGGGCCCAGGGCACAAAACTTCAAGGAGAACATCGGCCAGCTGCCAAACCCAAAGGGTCATGAACCAGCTCGCTAACTTGCCTTAGACAGACATGCCTGGTTTGCACCTACTGCTGTGAGTCCATTAAACTGCAAAAGGAGGGGACTCTTAGGTACTGTGTGAAAGTCCCCTGTTGGTGTAACAATGATCTTTAATGGCTCCCTTTTACCTGCTCCCTAGTGGCCAGGGCCAGTGCAGAAGGCTCCTCTCAGCCAAGACCGGGACCGCCCACATGCTCTGCGCTGGAGGCTCTAATATTCAGATCGCTCCTGGCTCCCCATGTGCCTCTGCTCCGGGAAGCCTCGGGGTGGCTCTTTCATCTCTTTCCTTCGGCCCCACGTGCAGCTGCTGCTCTGGCACTTTCCCACTGGGGTTGGGCTATAGGGGGAGAACAGCAAGATTCCAGCCAGGACATTTCTATTTCGAGCCCTGCGGCAAAGGGGCCCTCGCTGCACTGTATACCCGCTCTGCTGCCAATGCCCTCCCCGCAGCGGGCCAGTCTGCTGGGACTGACCTCTTCCCTGGGCCGAGTGAGCCCTGGGTCAGAGGTGGTGGGGGTTGGGCTAGTCTAAATTCCCCCGTTTCCTTTCTACACCACCTATTGCTCCAGCTCTCTTGCTTCCCACTCGAGCTCTCCCGCTGCACTTCTCAGGCTGCTTTCCTCAGCACTTGGAAATACGAGACACGGCAGCAGCTCCCAGGAGTATGCGGTCACTCCACCCCCGAGCGCTTTGGGGAAAAAAGGAAGCAAAAGCTCATCTCTTAGCAACTCCAGGCACCTTTCCTAGCCTGCCAGCCCTGGAGCTGCTGCTGCTTCATTTCCTCCCACCCACCTTCGGGGATCTGCTGCCTCCAGCTTCCACTCCCCGTGTCTTCTAACCCCAGCCACCTACCCTAGGATGCTGCTGGAATAATCCCAGGGATTCTGCTTGCGTCACTGGAACAAGCCCAAGGACTCTCTCTCCCAAGCATTTTCACTGGAGAGGCTCACGGATAAGGGCAAGTATGAACCCAGTGTGGAGTCTGAACTGAGAGAGAGAGAGTGTGTGTGTGTGTGTCAGTGTCAGGATGGCCTGTCAGTCAGGAGAATGGTTCAGCTGTCCAATGGGTCTGGTGAGCAGGGGGGAGGGACTGTGGGAGGCAGCCTGTCCTGCTGGAATGAGCACAGGACCCAGAGCCAGAGACTGCTGCTTGCCAGCGAGTGGTCCAGTTTAGTGTGAAATGTCCCACTCTTCTCCCAGGAGCCTGCTGCCTTCTGCTCCCCCTGGAGTGCTTCTGCTAGCGTCTTCACGGGGTTACTCTGGCACAACGGATTTAAAAAAGACACCTCTGTCTCTCGCCAAAAGGGAAGGCAGTTTTTTCCCTCCTGAGATGTTCTAGAAGCTGCAGGGCCGAAGGCTCACCGTGGGTGAGGTGTCTGCTCCTTCCTCAAGCAGGAAGGAGCCCTGCCATGCTCGGGGCCACGAGCTCCCCTGGGGGTTGGAGATGTCTTTGGAGCAAAGTCTGAAACAGCTCAGCAGCGCCGGTCAGTTGAGCTTTAGTCATAGCAATGTTAACGCCCTTATTGCTTTAGAAGCGTGGCAGAAGAAATGAACACCCATGTCTATTGAGCAAGCCCCTGTGCTCTCTCCCAGCTCTCCCTGTGTGGCATGTGTTGAAAGGAAGATGAGATTCTGGGTTCCTTGTTGCCTGTTGCTTTCTTACCCTTCCTGCTAGGGTGTGGCCCAGCTGCTCAGTTTAACCCTAGCATGTTCGGGGACTTCCCCTGGCAAAGGCTTAGCAAGGACTGGATGAGGTAGGTTGAACCTCAGAGCCCTGGCAGAGGGAGAACTGCCGGGCATGAGCTCTGCTGTGTTAATTTCAGTGGAATAAGTGGGCCCAGAGAGTCAAAAGGGTTAGTGTGACCTTGTCACTAATTAGCACTACTTAGTGAAATGCGGTTCAGGGTTTCAAAGACAGAGATCTCGGCCTGTTTAGTCCCATGACAAACACCCTCAAAAATGCATGTCAAAGTTTGGAGGTGTATTGATTGGGATACGCAAGAGAAGAACGGAGAACAAAACGCACAGCATTTTCAAAGCGAAAAGGGGAGATTCTGCAAAACAAACAATCCAAACTTACCAAAGTCCCTTTTTCAGAGAGGGTATCGCTGATACGTGAGAAATGATTGCTATTTTGGAAGGATCATTACTGAAGATGGAAGATGGGATGTCAGCACCAGACTAGCAAGAGCGGAAGAGACATTGTGGAGCAATAAACATCTGGTGAGAAGGGACATAAATCTGAAGACTAAATTCCAACTCTTAAAAGCTTACATTTGGTCTGTGTTAAATGACAGCTGTGAAATATGGACATTCAAACAATCTATGATAAACTACAATCCTTCAAATTGTGGGTCAGAAGAATTCTGAAAATCTCATGGCTAGACCATGCAACCAACAAAAAGGTATTGGAGATGATTGGAACTCAGCAAAGGGAGGAGGGATAGCTCAGTGGTTTGAGCATTGGCCTGCTAAACCCAGAGTTGTGAGTTCAATCCTTGAGGGGGCCATTTAGGGACCTGGGGTAAAAATCTGTCTGGGGATTGGTCCTGCTTTGAGCAGGGGGTTGGACTAGATGACCTCCTAAGGTCCCTTCCAGCCCTGATATTCTATGATTCTATGAAACCCTAGTTAGAGATCTTATGAAAAGGAAAGATTTGATTTCCAGGGCATATTTTAGGGGGTTTCGTGGGCGATGCATGTTTACAAGCCCTGGAAGGGAAAGTTGATGGCAAAAGAACATGAGACAGAAAAAGAAGATATTGGATGGATGATGTGGTATCCTGGGTGGATTAAAAGGACTATTCATCCATCAAGAGATTAGCAGAGGATCGTACAGAATGGGCTACCTTGGTTGCAGACTTGCAGTAATGGAGGGGCCACATACGAAGATTGCTTAGTCTCTTGTTTTTTCAAGCAATCTTTCTTAGTGGGAAAGAAAGGGTTAATTCTGTTGTTCAATGTTGAGTTGGCCACTGTTAATGATGGTTACTTTTTCTGCTTTTGACAGCCGAGATACAGAAATGGAGGGGAGAAAGGATAGCAAGCGTGGGGAAATGCAGCTTTTTGTTGACGTTCTCAGGATACATGGTAGTTAGTCATGGACAGATGCTTTGGGCTGGCAGGTCGGCCATGACATCTGTTGCTCTGGACTCTGACTCACTTCCCTAGTCTAGGACATCATCTGGCTGGGCTGGTCATGTTCCTCTTCTTCATTAGTCCCTCTTAGGCTGGGCAGAGCTGGATGGGCCATCTCATCCTGTCATGTTGGTGCTATGCAGTGCAGTTGATTCCAGGATCAGGTGAAAAGCCGAGAATGAGGACAGGAGGAAGAGAGCGGCAAGGGAAGGGAATACTCAAAGGAAGGGAAGATAGAGCAGGATCTTGCGTGTATCAGGCAGGGGTCCTCACTGGTCCAGGCGGCCTCACAGTGGGCTGGGCTGGAGGTGCCAGTGCTCAAGGCTCACCAATGAAGGACAGAGTCTCTGGAGCAAAGCAGAGCTTTATTGACTTTTGCTTGAGGAAATCCCCTTATTCATTTTCCCCCCAAATCTCTTTAAAGGATCCCAAAGGGGGGTGATGGGTGACCACCAGTTAGGCGTAATATCCTACAGGCCAGTTTGGTCCATTATTTTCTGATTCCATTCTCCTCTAGTTTACCAGTCACAATCTTAACGCAGACCTCGGTTGGTGTCACTAGAACATTTTGTTTGGATTAAGCCAGCCTTTGTCGCCCTTTTGTATCTTTCTCTGTCAGCATTTATTGTTCTAGGTGATTGTCAAATGTGACCTTTCACCCACTGTCTGCCAGTTGAGCTCACAATTGAGGGAGGCCGGCTAGACCCCAATTATTACAACAGCTCCTGCAGTGGCACCCTCAAAGCAAGGACGGGAGGCCTGTGCTAGGGGTGGAAAGTCCTGTCTCACTCCTGGAGAGATGCCAACAAGAGAAGCAACCCCAGCCTCTTCCTCCTAAAGACCAAAGGGAAATGAAGGAAACTTGACCATTAAACTGGGGAAGCCAGGAGGAAAACCCCAAAGGGGACAGGTTGGTTGCGGAACCTGCACTTGCTTCAAGGGTGACGGCAGGAGGACGGTGGGAGCTTCTCCCATGAGAGTTAGGGGACAGGGCTCTCCTGACACCCTGTCAAGGGATGGCCAGAAGTGAATCCCAGGAATGGTGAGTACCATCCAGGAGTGAGGCCTCAAGTCCT